TTAATTCTTATGCTGAGTTTAAAGGTAGAGAAATAAACTTTACTGAAAAATGGTATTGGTTCCTTCAATTGATACAGGGCTATCAAAAGTTGCTGATCTATTTTAAGGATATATTTTATATAAAAACTTTGTTATTTCAAATGTAACACCCTGTATTTTTTTAAATAAATCGAAGCAGACTTAAATGCTCTTTCAAACTATATTAGGGTTTCCTATACCTATCTAGTTCAGATTTTGAATAAAAAGCGATTTTTAAATAAAATTGTAATCAAAATGGCTGGTGTCGCCATGGCAATTTTCTAGTGTCAGTTAGTAACTATTTTCAAAGTCGGCAATAGTTTATGGACATTATTATTTATAATTTATAACAGTTTACTTAAATTTACCTACAATAGTTTAATAAGTTAGTATTCATTATTTTATCAAGAAAAATAAAGCAGTATCTGCTGGCGGAACGAATAGATATGTTACTAGTAATATTATTTTGTGAGGAAAATTGCTTTTTGGCATCAAGCGCTTATGCTCAAAGATATCCAAATAGGAATCTTCCTGATAAGAGTTTCTTTGAAAAAATTCTTGTCCTATTTCACCTGGTAGTGTGGTTTATAAAAAAATTATTAGGCAGAAACCTGTCGTTGGAAGCGAAGAAAATGAATTTGCCGTAATTGGCTCTTTTATAGAAAATCCATGTATCTACAAGTCATGGTAAAATAATTCAAAGACTACTTCTTCATTTTTCTTGATAGAATAATAAACACATTTAATAAATATTATTTATTAAACTATTGTAGGTAAATTAAATTAAAGTAAACTGGTTTAAATAAGTCCATAAACTAATTTCCATTTTGAAAATAGCTACTAACTGTCACTAGAAACTTGCCATGACAACACTAGCCATATTGATTACAATTTTATTGAAAAACCCTAATATAGTTTGAAAAAGCATTTAAATCTGCTTCGACTTATTTAAAAAATACTATATTTAAAAAATAACATTTAAAAAATAATGTTGCATTTGAAATAACGAAGTTTTTATGTAATATAAATATTTAAATATTAATAGACCAACAATTTTTGATACCCCTGTATACATTTAAGGAAGGAATAACATTTTTTTGTAAAGTTTATTTCACTACCTTTAAACTCAGCAGAAGAACTAATTATTCTGAAAAGTAATGTACAGGGTGTTAATAATTTAATAATCTATTCTATTGTAGCATGCAAATTTAAATATCTTTCAACATCTCAAAAAACAAAAATTTTAAACATATTTAACCCTTATAATAAATACCTTTTTTGGCCCCAAGAATCCAAAACTGAAATAAAATACCGGGTGTTAAAATAAGAAAAACCATAAGAAAAAATATAACTTTGGTATGGATCTTAGTTCTGAAACACCCTGTACATTTCAAAATAATTTTAAATTGTGCACATTACCTCCCCACATATACCCATAAAATATTTTGTTTCTACATCTTCCCGTTTTCGTATAATCAACCGAGGCGAATGAGGTGCGCCACCCTGTACATATAAAATATAATAATACCAGCTGCATCTCCAAAAGTGGCTTACCCCCTATAATTTTTTTATTTTTTCAGATAAAAATCAACATTTGGTATGTTAGTATATGACATAAATTAGGATTTATTGACATATTCAATTGTTTTTGGTCACTTTCTGTTTCACCGGAAATGACTACAACTGTAGATTTTTAAATGGTACCCTCGGTATATTTCTACTTTATTCGATAGACAATATAAAATGACATTCTGAATAGAATTTATGGCCTACTTTTGATATTTTTGAATATGGTTTATTTGAAATTGTAACATGCGGCTCATAACAACCATTTGAATTAAAATGCCAAGTGTATGGTACCAAATAATTATTCGTAAAAAATGCTACTTCCAAATATACTAATGAGCCACCCTTGTTTCATTTGAAGAAATTGAGATATGATTAAAAATACAATTTTCTATCTTTGGCGCGGAATCCAAACGGCTCAACAAAAATCAAAAAGCATTTTCCATCTTATTTTCTAACTATAAACATGTTTCAAGTACCTATGTCAATTATTATATTGGTATTTAATAGGTATACTAATTGTCTATTTTCGAAAATGCTAGAAGTTGGAGAGTTGAAGTTATTCATCTAATAATCCTGACAAAGTTTGTTATGTTCTGAAACGTCCAATATTTTTGCGATTTATATAATTTTGGAAAGTTGAAATTCAGTAAAGTTTATCTGAGAATTCGAAATCCGTGGGTGTCTAACAGAAGTCTAATATAAAACTTTTCATCCGGGGTTTTATACTTTTCTTATTTTTCGTACAAAATTTATTATTGATTTAAAACTTATTACTTATTACATACTTGATGTAAAAAATATAATAAAAACAAATATTTTATTACAAGCTACGCAAAAAATATTTATAAATCATTTAGTAATTGATTATAATGTATTTTACGAACATATTTAGAAAAAAATAAATAAATGGAACAACCATTAATCTGGAGACATAATATGTTTAATGAACTTTAGGGAAATTTTAAATAATGAAAGCTTTAACACATTACACCAAAAACTATGTAAATATTTGTAAAATAACCAGTTTAAAGATGCTAATTCTGTTCCTGTGTGACGACAGTACGCGCTCTAATTTAACTATTTTTATATTTTTGTCTATATTTTGGTCATTGTCCCATGGAAACAATGTCATATTATAGAAAATTAATTTTAAAATATTTATTTTGTTAAACAGTTTATTACGATTAAGTACCAGCACTCGCGCGCGTTTAAATATTTTATTATGAATTTCAGATTTACCTACTCATTCTATATCATTATATTATTTATAAAATTGAAACAGTTTCTATAATTGCGGATAGGGACTATCGCAATAGCTTTTTATTTATTTTTAAGTTACATATTTAGAAAGGATTTTGTTTGATGAATTATTACTTCTCTTGACGAAATGGCGAAGGAAAAATAATTATGATCACTTTTGTGCAACATTATTCCTTATAGAGACATCACATCTAACCAAGATATCTATAGTGTGATTAGTGATTATAATATGGACAACAAACTTATAATGTTAGGAATTAAAAAGAAGAATAGTTAGTTTTAAATATTTTTCTCATGTTTTGTAAATTTTATATTAGATTTATTCTCACAGAATATCTTTCTCCTGTTATTATCATATCATGATATTTAGATATTCCTATATTTCTTTTACATTCATTTAGTCTAAACCTGGTTTTACGTACTACTTATTTATTATAAAATATTAAAAAATTGTTTTATTTATTATAAAATAAATAAAATATTGACTAAATTAATAATTTAACTGCTTATTTAACCAATATAAATATAATAACTATTCAAATATTAAATGTGGATATATAAATGTTCACCAAGATGCCAACATTCAAGGACTGCTTTTTGGAAAAACACTGATTTTTTTAAAAATCAATTTTATTTTTTCCTGTCGTTAATTTTTAGTAAATCAAAAAACTAATTGCACATTCTCATAGCCACTTTATTAGGGCTATCTGAGAATATTTTTAGATTTTCAAATTAGCTGATAATTTGTGAGATACAGAGGCCAACTTAATTTTTTTAAATACGGACCTGCATTTTTTATTTCAGATTTTCAAAGAACGCTGTCTACTGAGTACAATGATATGCCACACTTAATATATTTTGTTTGTTTAGACATTTCAACACAATTTATTTAAACTAATTTCAAGTCCGGCTCTGTTTTTTTTTTAATATTTAATCTATTCATCGTTACAATATTGATTAGCATTCAAACTTAACAATGACGTGGGGTAAAACATTGAATACGGAAAATCAAATGCAATAAAATAATTAATATAAATAAAATATGAACAATCAAATTATTTTCCCAGAAGATGGACTGGTAATGGTAGAGTAATAGGTATAATTTATACTGCTCTACCATTTCCAAGAAGTATAATGTCCAGCGAGGTTCCTGTACCTATCGCCAAAGGGCTACATTACTTGACGTCATTTGTAAAAGTGAAATGAATTCATCTCAACATTTACAATAAAGAGTACAAAATGCATTCGGAAGTATAAGAAGAAAGTTCAAAGAGCTATAAATAAAATTGAACGAAAAATAAATTTGTGCAATAGGGAGGGTGGTAACGTTTTCGAACACGTTGAACATTAGAAACTAGTTTGTAGAAGTTGATTTATTTATAATAACTACTATTAATATTATCCATATTATTAGGTCGCGCACTGAGATTTCAAATTCACAATAAAAAAAGTTAAAAATAATATCTTTTAATTTCTGACCTGGACATTATTTATTTGAATCTTCCAATTGGCTCGATTTTCCTTGTTCAATGTTAATTAGCGCTGATCAATATTGTTGTGATGAATATAATCAGATTAAATAATTTAAGAAATCAGAGTCGGACTTGAAATTATTTTAAATATAATTAAATAGTCTTGTTTCTGTTAATGTAACCCAAAAAAAAAAGTATAAAGTGTGGCATATCATTGTATTCAGGAGACGGAGTTCTTTCAAAATCTGGAATAAAAAATGCAGGTCCGCCTTTAAAAAAATTAAGTTGGCCTCTGTATCCCACAAATTATCAGCTAATTTGAAAATCTAAAAATACTGTCAGATAGCCCTAATAAAGTGGCTATGAGAATGTGCAATTAGTTTTTTGATTTTCTAAAAAGTAACGACAGGAAAAAATAAAATTGATTTTCAAAAAAATTAATTTTTCCAAAAAACTCAGCAATCAGTTACCCAGATACTAATGCTCGTACCTCGAATTTGTAGCATCTTGTATATTGATTGCTTGTGTTTTGAGATTTACGCGGATTATGTTTGATCCACATATTAATCCACAGTTTTTAGCCAATTCCGAACGGCATTATTTGTGAATTTATAGACATGTATAGTCAAGGTGGTTTGTCAATGCCTTCACTGGATTCATTCAGAAATAAAGCACATAATATACAAAAAATAAATTTATTCGTACAGTCCCGGCTATTTGAGACATTTTTAAAACATCTCAATAACAACTTAAAATTAAACATTAACAACATATTCGACTAGATCAAATAAAAAAAATATGCCAAAAATTATTTGATGACCCTGTCATTCCGGCTCTTATTATTTCATTTTTTCAATCTTATCACATCTTTTCATGACTTCTTGTTGATGATTTTTAAACGTGATTATATAAATATGTGATAATATAATAAGCTTAGCTATTATAAAATAACAATTGGCAAGAATGTGTGTAAAATAAATGGAATGTGTAGGTTTTTAGGTTAAAAATCAATTAAATTTGCCATTATCTACGACAGATTAGTGTTACCAATGACTAAAGAATACGAGGACGACGTGTTAAGGGGCATATACGGGCTGAAGTAAAATTTGTGATGTTAGACGCCATTTTTTTGGAAACAACGGATGTGTCACCAGCGACAATTTTAGCAATTAATAATAGTTTGTAGTGTATATTAAACTTTGTATAAACTTTATTACAATGGTGATTTGTTCAGCTTGCAATTGTAAAAGCCACAACGATGAGAAAGAACCAGGAATTACGTTTAAAAGTCCATTTCACTAATCCAAAAAACTGCCAAAATAAGCGTTCAGGATTTAACGTTTTATGTAAAACTGCCTAGGTATTTTTATACAAATAAAGAAGGAAATTAAAGATAAAGGATTATACTATATAATTGTAGGACATTTTTAGACAACTTCTTTATTTTCAAGATTTTGATGGTCAAACATCAACAAAATATTCCTTATATTTGGACTAAATTTTCTGTGAAATAAAGACATAATTTAAAATTTCGTTACAATGCAGAAATAGATTGAAGTTTTGTAATTACAATGATATATAATTTATATGGTTATGTAACAAATTGCTCGCTATGTTATGGCAAATGCTGAAGCTTTGCAAACCTTAATCTTCGGCCACACACCCGCTTTACCCGACCCCTGAGAGCGACCCGAATAGTATAGCGTAATAGACTCTTAACCCTCTGACACGGCACTGTTTGGAGACAAAAATGGTAACAATTTTGTCTCGGGTGTTATCTATAGGGTATTTTGTCCTTGTATTCTTTAATTATCGAGTATTATAGTTTGAAAATGTCAGTTTCGCCATCTTCAAAGGAAACTACAGCAGTTTTAAAATTATAAAGTACGATTATGATGATTTAAAAAACTTTCATTAATGGTACTTTAAAATAATTATCATTTGTCATTTAACTAATAAAATAGTTAAAATTCGGAATACTGCTGTAGATTGCGATGAAGCTGATATTATTTTCAATAAATCTGTGGTATTATAAGCGGCATGAAAATAACACATATTGTTTATGCATCCTTTATGCAAATCAGGGAAGATTTATTACGATTTTTCCTGAATCATGTGTCCAACCTCTTCGAGTTCAATGATTTCCTCTTCTTCAGGCTCTTCTTCTGCGAATATAAAGCTGTAAATACCACAACCAATGATGGCACCTACGTTAGGTCCGATCCAGTATATCTAGACAAAATAAAACAACAAAACAAACATTATTTATTTGTTTGTAAAATAAAAACACGGTTTTGGTATAACTAAACATGGTAACATGTGTTTTTGGGTTCTATGAAAATATTTAAATAAGTATAGCTTTTTTTTAACAAGCTAAGAGAAGATGTATCTGTTAGATTTATTTTAACCCAGTAACATAATAGTCAGGAGTCACACTGTAATCAAAAAATAAAATATTTATTTAATGTAAAAAAATATCAATGACAGGCACGATTTGATGTAAAAAGACATTTTTTGTTTTGAAATAAAAACAAATCAATGAAATCCTTTGTTTTTATTTACAAAATGGGATGATGCTCGTTGAACCGTAACATAAATATTATTTTCTTATTTAAATTAATTAATGTTCAATGGAGAATGTGATAAACCAGTCATAGTTTTTACATGTTAGACATGTTTAACAATACTGACATAAAAAGCACGATTACCATTAAACATTGCATTTTTTCGTAATTGTAGTATCTATAGAAACATTTATTATTGCATCGTATTTGAAAAACGTTGCCATATCATGCAAGAGAACAATTATTTTAAAGCACCCACAGTAATTATTTTGCACACATAAATAGAGATTAAAAATCTCTTTTCAATGTTGGTTTTATTTCAAGTTGAAGATCAAGCACGGTCTTGTCTCCCACTTTTCTGGACCACGAATCGTGTCAACGGTAGATTCGTAAAAAAATCGAAACGTATCAATACGAAATACGCCACGATCGCGAAGAAGCAAATCAAATGTGTTGGATATTTCACGGACCAAATCAATAGTGAATAGAAAGTCGCAGAGGAAGTTGAGGAAAGAAACTTATTTTGCACTTTTCCAAAGAACTCTACAGAAGGCTGGTGGTACTTTTATTCTCTTGCTTTAGGCTTGCCGTGTAAACAGCATACGATCACTGGACAACTTTCGATTTTTACGAATGGCTTTTTGTTACTTTTGTATCTCACAAAAGTGTCAGACAGGAGCGTGCTTCACTACCCGTGTCAATCCAGCTTAAGGCTATAAAATAATAATTCGGAATTATTTCGTGCGGCACTGTAGATGATTATCTTTTCTTTTGAGATACACATACTTTACACGCTGTATACAAACTTTGATTATCTCGTGGTCACACGGTACATTATTTAATCAGTTTGAATTAAGCAACATATATAGCAAATGTGCAATTCAATTTAATTTTGAATTACCTACTAAACCAAGAAGTCATCTGTGATACCTGTCATAAACAAAAAGGGAATCGAAATACCTTCTATTTAAAATATGCTATATTAGTGGTCAAAAAATTAGCATATAGACATTGAAACTGTATATATGTCAAAATGTAAAGGAATATTTTAGTTTTAATATTTTTAATAACTTCAATAGATTTTGTATGTTAAATTGTAAAGTGTTTACTTACAAGGCTTATACTCTAACTAGAGAGTATACAAACTATTCAAAAGTCTTTTCACTGCGATCGAAAAGTTTTTGTTCAAGTAAGCTAAGATAGTTAAAAATGGAAAAATGTAATTTCTCGTAAGAAATGTTACGACACAATAGGCTCTTACTAATAAAACTTTTGAATTTATATCTTTTTTAAATACAGGATGAGTCTTAAATAACTGTAAATATTCTAGGGGATTTCGACCCCAGGAAAACGTCTATGAGTTTTTTTTGCAAAAAAAGATACTGAAAATCGTTCCATTTTTTTAAAATTTTCCTGTGTATTTTAAAATTTTTTTTTAGAACTCCCTGCTTTTGAATTCGCCGCAAATTTTCTCACGTAATTACTTCCTCTAATACTATTATGGTTACGACATTGGTTACGGCACTAAAAAGGATGCAAATACAGAAAAAATCCGGTGGCTCTCAAATTTTTTTAAAAATAAATAAATATTTTTAGAAAATTTTAAACTTGAATAACTCGCTTATTTTAGAGTTATTTGAAAAACGGTAAGAAGAAGATATGTTTCATTTATTGCGATCTACCAGAAAATACATTTTTTGCACTTATTTAAGACTTGGTCTGTAGTTATATCTAAATTAAATCTTGGAGAATAAACAAGTATTAAAAATATCATACCCATTGATGTTCATAATCTCCGGCCAGAAAAGCAGGTCCAAATGATCTGGCAGTATTCATACTTGCTCCTGTTATTGGTCCCTAAATACAATATATTATTGTAATAGTACCTAACCTAACACTAACATTAAAAAACTTACCGCCACCATGGCAATAGCTGTAATAATTAGTCCAAACCTCAAAGGCACAGAGTCTTGTTTCTGAGCATTTCTCGGATCCCATACCCCACAACAAACCAAAATAAGTACTGCAGTGATGATGGTTTCTATTATTAAAGCTTGAATTGGACTAGCTGCAGCAGCTGGTTTGGTTAGGCAAAAACCACCAGAAACCCATCCTTCGGGCATGAGTATCTAAAAATAAGTATCAAAATAATATAGTATATATCAGGCCTCTAAATGCAAAACCGGATTGAAAGAAATTTTACAGAAAACACAAAAAATGATTTAACATATTATGAATATTAAAAAGAATAATACATTTAAAGCATTGAATTTATCCGGCGCATTATTTCTTGAAAATATCATGCATAAAGATCTAATTCATGGAGCTTTCTTGTAAATTGGGATTTTAATTTGGACATGTCGGGTTTTGCATGTAAAGAGCTGCGACATGTCGGGTTTTGACTAAAAACGACGTTGAGTTGAATATAATCAAAATAAAATGGATTGTGCTATTTTATTGAAACTTTATTGGAAGATAAACAAAAGTAGGAAAGAAATAATAATACACCTAGCTTTTAACTAGGATTAAACATCAGAATTTAAATTTTCAGCAGAACAAAACGTCTGCATTTAGTTAATCAGGTCACATTGTCACATGACCTAACTAACTCTTTTCTATTGGCTAACGAGGCACATGTCAGTGTTTGAACTTAATAAATAATGATAGGACTTGTCGCTTTTTGCATTTATACCAGATTTTTCATACTAAATATCTTATAGATAATGTCGATATTTGTAAGAAAGTATTATGAAATTTGATAGCTCTTTGGATAACGAATAAACGACTTGGTGTATAGAACTCAATTTTCAAAAATGTGTGACTTGTCGGGTTTTGTATTTATGTGTAGGTAAATAAATAACTATCGCCAATAAATAACTCCCTTCCAACAAGGAAGCCAAAGCAAAAGTATTGATATATAAAACTACCCCCATAACAGTCCCCCACTGGCAAAGGAGTACGACAGGGAGACGCAATATTCCCAAAACTGTTTACAGCAACATTAGAAGAAATCTTCCATCAACTCGACTAGACCAACAAAGGATTAAGTATAGATGGAGAATATCTCAACCATAGAGATTCTCTTAACCATAAAGATTCGCTGATGGCATAGTCCTATGGAACTAAAAGCAAAAATTAACGAACTGAATACAGCCAGCAATAAAGTAGGTCTCAAAATGAATTTAGCAAAAACTAAAGTAATGTACAACAAACTGGTAGACAAAAAAACATTCTAGTAAATAACACAAAACTGTAAACAGTAGAAGAATATATTTATTTGGTGCAACTAATATACAGTTCGGGATCTCTTCTACCAGAAATTAACAGAATAATTAAGTTAGCAAGGAGTACTTATAGAAGAAACTCCGTCATAGTCAAATCTAGAATGCCACTTTATCTAAAGAAGGGAACATTCGACCAACATGTAGTACCAGTCATGACCTATGCATGCAAAACCTGGACATTAAAACGGACATTATAAGGAAAATGCAGGTCGCACAACGCTCAATGGAACAAAATATGCTGGGAATAACCAAGAGAGACCGTAAAAGAGTAGAGTGGATACGACAAAAGACCCAGGTAATAGATGGACCACAAAAATTACAGCATGGTACCCACGAGGAATCAAGAGACCTAGAGGAAGACCAAACCTGAGAAGTGATATTAGAAAATTAGTAGGGATAACTTGGGCCCACAATTAATAGACAGCAATGGGCCCCACTACAAAGGGAGTATCTAAATATGTGAGGTGTCTACACCATAATTCGAAATGGTTGAATAAGCTGAAAATGATGATGATGAAAATAATTATTATGTTTAAAATTATTTGCTAACTAAGAAACTACTTACTTTTAAAAGTGCGTAACCTAATGTTGCTCCAAGAAATTGTCCTGCAACATAAACAACGCCCATCGCAGGACTAAGCATTCGGAAAATCACAGTACTAAGCGTTACAGCTGGATTTAAATGAGCTCCTGATATATGTCCGAATATCTGTAGAAAAATACATTACTTCAATAATTAAAAGATCAAAGAATCAAAAATAATATACATGGTTCTCCGAATTGTATTCCGGAAACTTCGGCAGCATATTGTGCAGATAAAAATAATTAAAAAAAGTTCGTATAAATTTATGTACTAAAATGCTTCGTTTAGGAGATACAGGGTGTAGAAGTTTCATTTTATTTCGTTTTTTTCAAAATTACTTCTGATCTAATGCCGATATCTGGATGAAAATTGGTGTCTAGATGTTTTGACATGGGAAATTTGAGTTTGATGTCCATATGAATCCTACTTGTAGGGGCACTACCTACATTTTTGGAACTGTTTTGAAGAGTAATAACTTTTTGCCCGTACGTGTATTAAATTACTGAGTAAAAAATATTATGTAAGAAAGAGAAAAGAAAGACAATAGTGCACAAAATTTTTTTAAGAAAAAATATTCCTGTGATAACCCATGTAGAATATAGATTGTTTACGAGGAGGGTTAATCACCGCGACCTTACAGATCTGTTGTGTTGAGTTATTACGAATTATAACTCATCAAACAGTCTCAGGGCTTTGACAGATGCCAGTATGTGAAACGACTACTCAGAGGCCAGCTCTCCATCTCTGACATCACCCGTGCCAAAATTTATAGCACGAATGGTTGTTGTCTCGGCGCACTCAATGATGAAGTGTTCTGGTGTTTCGCCATTTTACCCACAGAATCTGCATTCGCCGTTGTTTCTTACAACTTAAATCAAGGAAAATCTTTGATTTTTCTCGGTTGTGAGTTCTGAGGAAGTTTGTCAAGTGTCTCGGACCGTGGGAGAATTCCAATTCCAGGTACGGATGGAGTTTTCCAGGTTCTTGAGTTTCGCGTTGAGTTGGTTTCCGCTTGGAAAGCAGAGCGGTTCTGGTCCAGTTAGTGGAGTGTTCGCTCATTTTCTAGCTAGATCGTTTACTTTTTCATTGCCTTTTATTCCTTGGTGAGCGGGCATCCAGAGTAGGAGGACTTTTGATTTTCTTTGCCTAATTTATTAAGTTTCTCTAGGCATTCTTTGACCAACTTCGAATTGATGGTTACTGAGTTATTGCTTTTAGTGCTGCTTGACTATCGGATAAGATAGCTATTTCCTCTTTTCGATAGTTTCTATCTAAGATAAACTGTACGAATCTTTGGATAGCGTAGATTTCTGCCTGAAAGATGCTGGGGTAGGTGCCTCCCTGTTTCTGCTTTGGTTTTGGGAACATCAGTATACCACGTTATGGTACGGTGTTTTACATGCTGTGATAACCCATATACACGTCCTTGGTGAATAAGGTGAATATGACGACATTTTTTTAGCGGTAAAATATGTTGTACTTATAGTAACTTCTACCCTTCAAATTGACCGAATGAAGAATGAAGACCTAAACCCCCTGTAGCTATAAAACGTGGCATAATCGAACCTATGTTGATACGAAAAATAAATCTTTTTATTTTAAAAATATACTTATATTATTAATTATCTTTTCTCCCCGCGAGTGATGGCACATGTTTTTGAAACATCCATAGTAAATTTTGAAAGTATTTCATAACTATTATTTTGATTCAATTTAAACTTATTTTTAACTTTATGTACAAAACGTTATGGCATGCATTTTATTTTCTTACTTGAATAATTAGCAGGACAACTAAACCGAATGCTATAGCAGGCATGTGGTGCACAGCAGGTGGATTGTCTGTTTGTATGCAGCCCATACATCCTAAAAATAGAAGAAGGGCCGTTCCCAAAACTTCGGAAACAAAATTGACGAAATACTGTCTTGTTGTCTCTCCTGAAATATAAATACAAAATTCAAATATTTTATAAAAAAAATCTGTATGAATAGATAATTTTGACAAAGAAAATTCCAAAAAAAGTCAAGCGATTTTAGTTGTTTTTTTTTCTAATATTTTATTTGATTTCAGAAAAAGTATTAACCAGATATCACAGTGGAGGCTCGTGACCCGTGTGACTGGGTAGGCGACAAAATTTTAGTTGTGTCTATTTGCCCCCCCCCCCCTTCGCAAAGATATCTGACTTAGTCGCTTTTATTAACATATCGAATTGAAATAGTACACTGAGGTTTTTTCTGTAATATCTGTTGTATCGTCTTCTTGTACCGAATAAAATAAGGCGCTTTTTTTATTTCGAATTATTTTATTTCTGTGGCGTGTTCTGAAATACAACCGGTTATATAATTTTAATAATCTCGGACAAGCTCGAAAAATGTTTCCAATTTGCTTTAAAAGTTTTTTGAATTTTTATATAAAAGTTTTAAATGCTACTTATAATGAATCATATGAAATATCCCCTTAACGAAATGTGATATATCCCCTTATGAAATATCGGGAATATCCCCTTAACTTCTAAGCCTACCGAGCCTCCACGACTTCATGCGAAGGCGACAGGAGATTTCGCCTAAGCCCCGCGTTAATGCGATACAACTGCGACTTACGTCGCGTCGCCACCGCACGATGAGTTAGAGAGAGACAGAAGACTGCCGTACGTCGTACATCGAGTCTGATAGTAGGCGATGGTAGAAATCGCCGAACCAAAGCACTCCAATGGTCAAAATTATTTTGTTTGGTTTGGTTCTAACGCAGCTGCACAGTCAAGAAGTGTCTAGTTCTAGCAGTTAACTATTAAGCTTGACTAATCAGGTTGGTTAGCGTGGTTATTTGGAGTGTGTTAATTCATTCGTGTTTGTCAAAAACTCTAACGTGATTGGTCGGGCTTAACAGTTGCTTGCTAGGGCTAGACACAAGTGCACAGTCAGCGTACGCCGGCTGTAGTGAATATTTTAATATACAAGACCACAAATATTAAAATAACATTGATTATTAAAACACACTTCAGGTGATTAACAGGTAAAGTTAATTGGCGAAATATAATATAATTAGAATTAGTCCCTGTTTCCAAAATGTATTATTATCCGGCATTTGAGCAAAAACAAATCATTCATATTAGTAAAACAGCTTATACAGATTCCGAAATACAACATAATTTCGGCAACCGCTCAATTAAGTTTTGTTTATAAGAAAATACTTCGCGACTAAGAATTGCGTTACCGGTTTATCGGTTTACCGGTTAAATATCCTAAAAACGCGGTAAAATATTACCGATAAATCATCTTCAAATACCGCGACTTATAAATAAGCTCCGAAAATGTTAGGAGCCTTTATTTCGAACTTTTATTACGATTGCAATAGATTTATTGCCAGTATTTATTGTATAATGCTATTAAATTGTTAATAATTTTTATTACTGCCTTTCAAGGAACCCCGTAAAAATATATTATTTCCTTCGTCGCGTTGATCCTCCTAGGTCTTCTCCATTCTACTGCTGCTGCTGCTGCTTAGAGTTAAATTACGCCAAAAAAAAATGTTTAATCACAGCATGGCAATATAGTTCAGTCATTGGGGATTTTTGCTTGGAAAAAAGTCCGGAACATTTAAACCTGCAACTTTGCAGGTTTATAGGTTTTGGGGTCCCTAACTAAAATCCATAAAATGCACATTTCCAGACTTGCCGCCGGCGCCGCCATCTTGCCAAGATGGCACCCAAAATCGGTATTTTGTGAATGTCTCGAAAACTATGCGTTTTTCGTGAAAATTTGAGGAGAGCAAAATTAAAGAGAATAAAATTTCCTATAAAAAAGGTTCTATAAAATTTTCCCCTAAAGTCAACCGTTTAGGCACAAAATATCTGGAAATTTTACAATTTTGCGTAAAATATGATATACCTATTATGTACAGTCGATTTTCCGAAATTAAATGTCGATTAGGGTTCACTATTTAGATATACTTATTTATTATATATAGATATACTAGTTTTAGTTTAGTTTTTTCAATTTTGTCATAAAACAGTGGCGTATCATTAATTCGCTCATTAATTTATGAATAATTAATTTTAATTATTGAAAACGTGTACTTTTCCACACCACCCAAGAGGTAAAGTATACGGCGCGTTTATTTTAACGTAGTCTCCCCGGAGGCTTACTCCACTAGATAAATTAAAAACTTTTACTTATCTACACAAGCCCGACGGATCTGGCTCATTGATGTCAAAGTCGATCGTGTGTGCTGTGCTGGGCTTATCAGGGTGGTCTCTCAATATGTCCAACTCTTCATCATCAGCCGCCAGAGGGATATCTACAGGCAAGTCCAACTCCTCTTCATCGGATTCGTCGAGTGACACTTCAGTGACGTTGTCACAGGATTTCCCATTGCAGTATGCACAAATCATTGAACATTTTAATCCTGCTTTTCTGCATCCGCAGGCTTTACCATAGTTGTTGGTTTTGCATTTACAGGATAAAAATGCCAACAGGGATTTTGGAGCTGGATCTTTCAACGTTGTGACTGGAGTAATGCCTGTTTTTGTTTTCTTCCAACCCCATTCTGTTTTCTTTCAACCCTCATTCGGCATCTTTGATACAACGCAACCAGATCAATGCTGAACCTGGTGGTAAGTTCGCAATGAATGCTGTCCAGCACGACAATTATTCATAAATTAATAAGCGAATTAATGATACGCCACTGTATCATGACAAAATTGAAGGCACTAAACTAAAACTAGTTTTAGTGAACCCTAATCGACATTTGATTTCGGAAAATCGACTATACATAATATATCATATTTTACGCTAAATTGTAAAATTTCCAGCGATTTTGTGCATAGAACCTTTTTTATAGGAAATTTTATTCTCTTTAATTTCGCTCTCCTTAAATTTTCGCGAAAAACGCATAGTTTTCGAGATATTCACAAAATACCGATTTTGGGCGCCGGCGGCAAGTCTGAAAATGTGCATTTTATGGATTTTAGTTAGGGACCCCAAAACCTATAAACCTCCAAAGTTTCAAATCTTCCGGACTTTTTTTCAAAGCAGGCTGCTTTTTTGATTCCCAATGACTGAACTAAGATATATATAAATATTTTGAAATTCTACTTTAATTTGATAAAGTTTGCTTATATATTTGATTTTTTTCCACTCGTTCCTGATAAGGAAAAACCGGTAAATCGGTAATTCCTTGTTTAAAACTACCGTCTGTCGGTAAATTGAAAAATCGGTAAATTGGCAATCCCTATTCGAGACATAGACTGATTCGAGTTTAAAAAAAGTATTTTGTATATTGTGGTCAATTTGTGTAACTTTATTTTAAATATAAATTAATTTCAAAAATTATCAAAGTAAACAATAATTCTATTCCTCACGTGGAAAATTAAATAAATAAGAATAGTAATAATAAGTAAGAATAATTCAATTGTTTGTCTAAGTTTGAATAATCCCTAAAACAGACAATGTAAACAAATGTATTTTAATTAAAATGTGTGTCAACTTCTCTTGGCTTAAGAATTAAACAATGAGGTACTATCATTGTTTTAATACTGTTAGTATAAATTTAGTTTTGTGTGATTATAGTATTTTTCAATCGTTCCTACGTAACCTTGCGCTATTTAATTCCTATTTTCTTGAAGCATACAAAGAAGCATTTCCTTAAGAATAAATGTAATTACAACAATAATTTTTATGGAAAAGTTAGAATATCTTAAAATGTAATACAGATATCTTTATTGCGCAAAACTATTGATACCGCAATATTATTATTAACCAGTCAAAGATTATCAGTAACATGTATTAACAAAAAAAAGAATAATTCAATTAAGAATTACATAACAATTTAAGTCAATGTCGTGTAAGAGATATGCTTTATCGAGATAATATTTCAAAATGTTATAAAAAAAGACTTTTTAAATATTATATTTTTTAAAATATACAAGGTCTGGATCAAATAACGTTTTTTGCAATTACTTTAATTTATATATTGTGATTTTTAGTTCCTTACCTGTAATTAAGGAAATAAATTTAACGGAAATAAATTAATTTTTTATATAAATATATTTTATGAAAAAACTGAAATAAGTGCAAATATTTCTACAGGGCTATTAGACTTAGACCTCGACAATAGAAACATAATTTCTATTTACCGTTTTTCAAATAAGTCCAAAATAATCGAGTTATTTTACATGGAAAATGAAAAAACTGAAACCACTGCTATGTTCTAAAATATAGGTAGGTGTTGTTATGTATGACAAGTTTTATCTGAAAAATTATTAACTCTCAACCAATTATTTATTGATAATAAAGAACTAAAAAGAAATGAAAAGAAATATTAGGACATATCCCTTATTAATAAATGTAAATAATCTTGTGGATTAGTTGTATTATTTACTTTGATATCAAAGAGAAAAAATATATATCTATACTTAACAATGTTAAAAGCCAATATTTTTTTTTAAATCTTACAATAGCATTGTTTTATCATCAATAGCATAAAGTGTTTTTAGTAACAATAATGTCATTTGATTATTGTATAGTGTTTGTATTCTTAACCAATAAGATTTTTCATTAGTACTCTAATTATTTAGTCATCTTACTAATAGAGATACCTTAATGTACTGATATGAAATTAATGTTATTATTATATGTATAGATATACAGGGTGTTTCAAAACAAATGCGAAAAATTTCAGGGGGTGATTCCTTGTTTAAAATAAACGGTAGTTTACTTCATAAACGTTGGGTCAAAAGTCAACCATTAGGGAGATATTGCGGTACAAAGATGGCGGAAAAATAATGTTTTTATTTTTTATCTTGAAAACGAAAAGAGATAGACTAATAAAATTTTATGGAAGCATTACTGTTATGAAAACACACATTCTGGTAATTTTTCACTTTTTAAAATGAGTGGAAGGGGTTGAAATAAACTACCCCTATCATTCTTGTTAACGAAATTTAAAGAAAAATCTTATCAAATACATGCAAAAAAATAATTTGGATAGTTTAGTTTGTTTAGAAACTTTTTATCTCTTGTATTTTTTTGATAAAACTCACCGATTTGAAATTAAAAAATAAAATGTAAAGCATTACATGCCAGGACAAAAAACATTTTCTGATAAAGAATCTAGTGGGCTGCTGTAATTTTTTTAGGAAAAAATCTAGTCGGTCGCTGTTATTTTTTAGGATGTTCCTAATATTATTTTATTTGACATTACTCTACTGCAATACGTTATTATCTAGATGATTATTATTATCGTTATTATCACTAGATTCTTGATCTAAAAATGTTTTTTGTCCTGACATGTAATGCTTTACATTTTATTTTTTAATTTCCAATCGGTGAGTTTTATCAAAAAAATACAAGAGGTAAAAAAGTTTCTAAACAAACTAAACTATCCAAATTAAAGCATTTACATGTGTTTGATAAGATTTTTCTTTAAATTTCGTTAACAAGAATGATAGGGGTAGTTTATTTCAACCCCTTCCACTCATTTTAAAAAAGTAAAAAAATTACCTGAAAGTGTGTTTTCATAACAGTAATGCTTCCATAAAATTTCATTAGTCTATCTCTTTTCGTTTTCAAGATAAAAAATAAAAACATTATTTTTCCGCCATCTTTGTACCGCGATATCTCCCTAATGGTTGACTTTTGACCCAACGTTTATAAAGCAAACTACCCTTTATTTTGAACAAGGAATCACCCCCTAAAGTTTTTCGCATTTGTTTTGAAACACCCTGTATATTTAGATACCTACTTCACATGAGAGGTTTGTTTTTATTTATTATTCTAGACACAAATATCATTTTGATGGAGATTTTTTTCGTAAAATCAAAAACTAAATTATAGTAGGTATCAAAATTGCATTATCATCTATATCATATATTATTTATACAGGGTGTCCCAGAAATAAGTGCAAGTATTTTAACTGGTAGTATAGTTCAACTTCAGAAACACGCGTATGAGTTTTTTTTCGCGAAAAAAAATTGCGAAATATCGAAATATTTTGGAAATTTTTTTAGTTTTTAGTTAAAAAACATAATTTCTTGATTATATGGCAACATAGGTATTAGATTAAATTTACAAGAAAGAAAATCCAGAAAAGATCCGGTGGTTTTCAAAATTTTAGCAAAAAATCACTTTTTTGGAAATTTTCAAAGTAAAATAACTCCGTTATTTTGGACTTATTTGAAAAGCGATAAAGAGAAAATTTGTTTCTTTTATCGAGGTCTACCACCCCTTAAAATACTTGCACTTATTTCTGGGAAACCCTGTAAAAAGGGTGATCACAATCCAATTGTAAGTTAGCCATTTACCGAGAACCTGGATTATTTAAAAATTTGGATTTTTACATAAAGCCACTTGGTCCATCAATGAAAAATATTTTCAACTTAGTGGCGACTCTTTTTGGGATTTCCTATGTTTCCAACGCCGATGCACCACCCAGTATAAGTCAAGTGTCAAGACTATGATGGTAACAGAGTTGTAAATACCGCAGTATTGCATCATAATATGTTGTGACCCATATTATTGTTAAACAAATGGGTATCAAATCCTCTCAAGTGTTTTTATATGTGTGTGTGTGTGTCGTAAAATATAACTAAAGTTCAATAAATATATATAGTTCTTTACAATTTTTTTATATAATTCGGTAACAATAAATAAATAGTTCTAATAATACAGGTCTTAAATAAGTACAAATATTATGAGGGCTGGTATATCTCGATGAAATAAACATATTTTATCTTTATCTAAAAACCTATTACCTTTACCGAAAATATTTGTACTTATTTACGACTCACCCTGTACAAACTGACATTAAGTCATCTGCTGATGGTTAGCGAAACGCGCGTCCAGCGATAAAGGTAAAATGTTTTGGTATATTGTGGTGAATTAGTGTTTCACCACTTTGGAATAATAAGCAGATTCTATAACTTAATATTCCTTAATAAAAACATACATATATTACAGTAAAATACCTTTAAAATTAGTAACATTGGAAGATAAGTAATATATAAAGGTAATTTTAATAATGTATTATTCATATTCTATTTTAAAAAAATGACACCCGAAGGCACGTATAGCCGCCCATACTAAAATATGTTAATATCTCGAAAACTGCGACTTTGACTGATTTTGATGTTATTACAAATTTTGTTGCAAATATTATTCCTAATCTTAATTTGAAAACCGCGTTTCGCTAGCTACTGTAATTTTGGAGTTACGATTTTTTTAAATTTTTAACCCCCTCCCCCTTACCAACCCCCCACCCCCACCAAAACTAATGGCCAGATTCTCGGTGCCACAGTATTTTTGTGCCAAATTTGGTTAAAATCGGTTCAGCGGTTTTTGAGTTATCGTGTTACAGACGGACAGACAGACAGACAGACAGACGGACAGACAGACGGACAGACAGACGGACAGACAGACGGACAGACGGACAGACGGACAGACGGACAGACGGACAGACGGACAGACGGACAGACGGACAGACGGACAGACAGACAGACAGACAGACAGACACCATAAAAATATTTTTATTTAGGTCATTTATGAGCCAAAAAACTCATTTTGAGTGAAATTAAAAAAACTTTTTTTTTGCCGATCTTAATAGCCTACCATATCTATTGGTATGGTCGGCTAAAAATGTCTATACCTATATGTGGTGGATTCATCTCTCAAAAAAATCCTATATGGATTCTTTGATTTTAAAGAACATAACATAAATAAACATAACATGCGTAAAAATTAAAAATAATCATACAGAAAGTTTGGGGCTTTTTGGTTTTGCCTTATTAAGTAATTGTTATCAGGAAAATTAATTGTTAATTTTGAAGTTTAACTTGGGGATATAATGTCATTTTAACAGAACGTCAACGGTTTTTGTAGACGTAACTGTTTTAAAAAAACTAAAGTGTTCTCGAATAGTTGAATTTAAATATTTTAAATAGTTTTTTTCTTTATTCTTTGTATTTTTTTGCTTCCAACGGCGGAAAGAGATAAACTTTCCGAAACGTTAAGCATTTTTTTGTTCATTAGGCAAATTTGTATATCTGTAAACCTAACTTCTGACAAGTAGTTTCCGTTTGGATTAACGCAGAAGTGTTTACAAAAAATAACTATTTTATTTTGTAGATTCTCTTGCAGTGGCGAAATACGCATATAGAATTTTTTGGAGACATGTTCTATTTACTTAAACATAAAATATTATTTTATTATATTTTATTTCAAAAATGAAAATAATTGCTTAAAGATCAGAATACTTTTCACTATTGTTTTAGCTGGTTACCGACATGTCGATAAGGTAACCATTTAAAAGTTTGGTTTGGTAAATTAATTTAGTAAAAGTTTAGAAATATATTTTCCAAAACTTCTTAATATTTTTTTGGCACAGATTTATTTTTCAAAATAAAGTTTGTGATTGTTACTACGAAATAAAATATATAAAAATAGTAAAATATATTTTTTAAATTATTACCTCCTCCGAAAGCCATGTTTGATGATTTCGATATCTCGCCTCGTACAACTAACTCTTCACTACAATCTTTCTAATTACAAAATTCAAGTAGTACTGGCACCGCAATTGAGCTCTTAAATCGAAATTGCGATAAACTGTGTATTGTTATTGTTCAAAATCAGAATCACTTGAAACTATCTCTGATATCTAAAGCGGTTTGTATATATAATCTGTCTTGTAATTTTACCCGAGATTGCCTAAAGGAAAACACGGCCCGACGTTGAATATCGTTACAATTAATATAAATAAGAGTATTACTCTTCGACTTTGAAAAAGACACCGAAATTATCAGTATACAGGGTGAGTCTTAAATAAGTTCAAAGATCTTCACACAAAGCTGGTAGATGTCGATAAAAGAAACATATATTTTCACTTTACCATATTTCAAATAAGTCCAAAACACCCGCTTTATTTTACTTCGAAAATAAAAAAAATTCTTTGCTTAAAAATTTGAGAACCGCTACATTTTTTATAGATTTTCGTTCTTTCAAATTTAATATTACCATAATACCATGATATTCTTTTTTAACTAAGAATTAAAAAAATCATTTTTTTTTCGAAAAATATCAAATTTTGATAAAAAAAATTGTTTGTTTGGATACGGCTCCAAATAAACTCACAAAATATATTGTCTTCCTCAGGATTACACTTATTTAAAACCCGTCGTCAGATTTCATAAATATATTTCCATATCTGTACCCTAGAAGCAAACTGTGTATGTTAAGTCCAAAATTGGCATATTTGAGATATATACGTCAAGTTACTTAACTTTTTAGTACAGCCCTTGGCCCTTAATCTAGACCTGTTCGGTGTTGATGACCACCTGTGTTTTAGTGGATGTACCGATGTCAACACCGACACCGGTGTTTATTTCAACACCTGTGTTCATTTCAGCACCGGTGTTTATCTTAATACCGGTGTTTGTCTCAACACCAATGTTTATCTCGACACCGGTGTTTTTCTCAATATCGATGTTTATCTCAACACCGTTATCGCGATGAACACCGGTGTCGAGACCATCACCGGTTTCGGTGTCGATTAGTACTGCTCTTGGCCCTTAATCTAGACCTGTTCGATGTTGATGACCACCAGTGTTTTAGTGGATGTATCGGGTCAACACCGACACCGATGTTATTTTACAACTTGCGGTTGTTTCTATCTACAACACCGGTGTTTATCTTGATACCGGTGTTTATCCCAACACCGGTGCTCTATCCCGACAATCGGCATTTTATCCCAACAATCGATACTTCTATCTCAACACCGTATTCATGATGACCACCGGTAAGTTTGCGACCATCACCGGTATCGGTGTCGATTAGTGTACCCGCCTTTGCGCACTTAAATCTAGACACCTGTTCGGTGCTGATGACCACCGGTGTTTGAGTGAATGTACCGAGTGCCGGGCCAATTGACACCAAGTGTTTGTTCTAAATAATCTGTGTCGCCTCTCAGCACTGGTGTTTATCTTAATACCGTGTGTTTATCTCTCAACACCAATGTTTATCTCGACACCGGTGTTTTTCTCAATATCGATGTTTATCTCAACACCGTTATCGCGATGAACACCGGTGTCGAGACCATCACCGGTTTCGGTGTCGATTAGTACTGCTCTTGGCCCTTAATCTAGACCTGTTCGATGTTGATGACCACCAGTGTTTTAGTGGATGTATCGGGTCAACACCGACATCGGTGTTTATTTACAACACCGGTGTTTATCTACAACACCGGTGTTTATCTTGATACCGGTGTTTATCTCAACACCGGTGTTTATCTCGACACCGGTATTTATCTCAACACCGATACTTATCTCAACACCGTATTCGCGATGAACACCGGTGTCGAGACCATCACCGGTATCGGTGTCGATTAGTACTGCCTTTGGCACTTAATCTAGACCTGTTCGGTGTTGATGACCACCGGTGTTTTAGTGAATGTACCGGTGTCAACACCGACACCGGTGTTTGTTTCAACACCTGTGTTCATTTCAGCACTGGTGTTTATCTTAATACCGGTGTTTATCTCAACACCAATGTTTATCTCGACACCGGTGTTTTTCTCAATATCAATGTTTATCTCAACACAGTTATCGCGATGAACACCGGTGTCGAGACCATCACCGGTTTCGGTGTCGATTAGTACTGCTCTTGGCCCTTAATCTAGACCTGTTCGGTGTTGATGACCACCAGTGTTTTAGTGGATGTATCGGGTCAACACCGACACCGATGTTTATTTCAACACCTGTGTTCATTTCAGCACCGGTGTTCATCTACAACACCGGTGTTTATCTGGATACCGGTGTTTATCTTAACACCGGTGTTTATCTCAACACTATTGTTTATCTCGACACCGGTGTTTATCTAATCACCGATATTTATCTCAGCACCGCTATCGCGATGAACACCAGTGTCGAAATCATCACCGGTGTCGGTGTCGGTGTCGATGTCGATGATGCCGTTTGTTTGTTTTTTTTAATGTAATATTTTTTAGTTTATTTTACAGCTACGAATTTTTGTTTCTTTATGTTTTGTTTTGTTTTCCGTTTGCTTTTGATTAAAAAATGTTTTACTTTATAGTTCCTAGTTATTATAGTTTTACTTTACGCTTCCACTTTATTTTAGTGATTAATCTACCAAAAAAAAATATTTAAATTTGAAAGCTTCAAGTTAAAATCGGTGCACTTTAATAAACGATAAAAATAACTTACTTATTATAATACGGGATTATTATATAAGTTAAGCTAAATATAAGTTAAATCCTGTAAATGTTTTTTATTACGAATTATGTTAGGTCACCCAAAAAAAATTCGCATAATTTATTTTAAAAATATATGTTTTACATTTCATTTAAGTTCAAAATAAGTTATTCATATACCAAATATTACAAAATAAAAGAACATTCAATTCTTTTCGTTTTTCTCAAAACTATGTTTTGTGACTTAATATAGTTTGCTTCTGGCGTACAGATATAGGCTAATATATTCTAATGTGCAACATTTGTATGACTCACCCTGTAGTAGTTGTATGTTATCACAGTTTGTTTTCAATGGTTCTGCTTTGGCAAATGTTAACAGCTTTAGTTCGATACGAAAGTGTCAGAAAAGTAGTATCACATTTTTATCTCCCTTATCGTTCTTTTTATTTAAATTGCTCTCGAAGAATAGTTAAGAGAATTGTGTCTTGTGTTGTGAATTTGAATATGAATTACACAAGACTAATTAATAATATAGTAACTAAAAATGTTATAGTCTTAAAAGAAATTGTGTGCTCTAAGGTCACTTAAAATAACGCAGGATCTATTGATATTGTCAGAAAGATTTTTAAATTATATTCGTCAGTTCAGTGACTGATACTACCTTGTTGAACTTTATACACGGTGAGTCAGGACTGCTAAACCCAGATAAAAGAAACGTATTTTCGCTTTACTGCTTCTCCAATAACTCCAAAATAACGGAGATATTTAAAACCTTTGGAAATTAAAAAAAAAGTTTTTTTACTTAAATTTTGTGAACCACTGTATCCCTTTTCTGGGTTTTCTTTCTTGTAAATTTAATCTACTTCCTATGTTGCCATATTGTCAAAATAAAAAATCCAAAAAAATTGCAAATATTCACAAAAAATTTCGCGAAAAAAACTCACAAACGTTTTCTGGGGTCGAAATATACGGTCCCTAAAAATATTTGCACTTATTTTTTAAGACTTAACATGTAGATATATATACATACTTTAGAAATAGACTATTTAGTAAACGTGCAGCGACCCAATGTGAGTGGGTACATAATAATTAGTTAAAACTCTCTAATGAGGGACAGGAGATTCAAACTCACAGTCTTGTATAAAAAAAAATATTTTAAATTTTTACTATTTATATAAAGGGGGCAACATGTTAGGGGGCCCAAAAAATATTTTTTTTATACAAGACTGCTATTCGGCCAGCGAAGGCATATCGAAGACCGTGTGGAACTGAAAGCGACATTGTTGCCATATTAAAATGTGTAATATCTGTATACATTTGACAAAAATATTTTTGTATGAAAAATCCGCGTTTATGTATTGGAAATTTATTCGTGTCAAACATAGAATAAACAAAAAAATAAAAATACTTTTATAGGTACTGAATATGGCGTGTGCTCGAAAAAAGTTGTTTCGTTGGCTTGGAAATGACGATTATTCACATTTACCATAATATTTTACATGAAATAACAGCGATCTTCATTTCCAAGCCAACTCTAACGCCGTAACTATCAGCTCGCAGCGGCACAGTGCCAAACTAAATGTCGGACAGGCTGACGGTAAGGCCAGCTACATCTCGGATATATTTTGTGCCACAAAATCACCCATAAGGTTGCGCATGTCCTTATTTCTTCAATAGACGTCTGTGGTATTGATAAGTGCTGTTTTTTGTGAGTGGACCGTCCCACAGTGGAGTATTAGCATGAAAAAGGCGATCGAAATTCGAAAAAGCAAATATGTTTAAGATTTCCCAAAAAAAGATAAATGATAAGTTAAATCATGTCTGCCATGAATGGCGTTGCTATGGGTGTGAAACGTCAAAGTTGTTACTTCTCACAGATAAGAGGTAAATGGCTAAATTTTATTTTTAAAATTATAAATTGTTGTTGTTCTTGTGCTCCTTTTACGTTTATATTATTGTTTTGATTGAAAATGGCTCAGCAAGCTGCAGGTATATATTCTACAAAACATATTATTTATTTTGATATTCTCTATACTAACGATTTTTTTGCAACTAAAAGTTCAGAAAATTTGATTACATTTGTGACATTTTTATTATACTTAGAGATTTAGTTGCGCATTTCGAAGAATTCAGCATATTGTCTATATACGTTTTTCTTAGTAAACATTGGGCTTTCATACAGTAAAATAAAATACTGCAACTTTTTGTGACTTTGCTGATAAAATGAGAAAAACATTCTTGGTTTTTTCTAATTTGCAAATCAGTGATATACTAATGCGAGGTGTAAACCGCGATGGCATTGTTGTGTACAAAGCGATCGCATTAGTGCCATTAGCAGTATAGCACAATTTGGCATTAGTAGCGGCTTTAGTGGTATGGGCATTGGTCGCGGATCAGTCGTAGCATTAGTAGTATTAGTTGCGATATTACTACTGGCATTAGTGGCATTGACCGTGGAAACACTGGAACAGTGATTTTTCTTTTTTTAGAATCGACGAATTATCCTTTATTTTGTTCATATTATTTCCTCTTTAATTG